AGTAATTGTTTTATTTTATTTTTTATTGTTCACTTTTATTTATCTATATGTTTGTATATGTCTATTGCTTTGGCAATATTGTGCTATTGTACACATTCATGCCAATAAAGCTGAATTGAATTGATACTAAATTAAAATTTAAAGGACATTATCATCAAAACTAGGACCAAAATAACCATCTGTATTATGGAAAATTGCATTTCTGATGTCTTTTTTTCTTTTTCTTTTTTTTTCACATTGAAAAACTCCCACACCACCGACATTGTGTCTTCTCTCTAGCATAAACTCTTCTAAAGCATGCGTAATGTGCCACGGTATGAAGGCACCAATCAAAACCCTCATGGCCAGCAGCATGTATCTGATTTAACCAGAGGAAATAATCAAATATTTTTTTGTGTTTTTTATATTGACATAATTTTCTTAAACGACCATTAACAATGACGTTAAAAATGAACATGTAATTGGCCGATACCGATATGGCCTTTGATATAAGATGCATCCATCCCTAGTATGGAGCTTATTTACGTATGAAAAAGTCATTTAAATTATTTTTGGTAAAAAAAAAAAAAAAAAGATTGATTTTGGCTCTTTTTAAAATAAACCACTTTATTGGTGAGAATGGAACGTGTTATGTGGATAAGAATGGAAATTTCCCACTGATTCTGAGTGGCTGCAGTTTCGCTTCAGGTGGAGTTGTGCTCCCTCAGCACTTCTGAATGCCACTGAATTAACATCTTTCTCTCTCATAACCATGCTTCTTAAAAAAAGGATAAAGGGAAATAATTCCACCCAAGCACCTCTTTTTATTAATATTAAAGTTTAGTCAACGTTAAATGAGACCCCAGTTTCCAATTTATTTTGCCACTTCAACGCCTCATCGCTAACGTTAATAACTCCTGGATACTGGATTAGAGCTTTAAGTGCACTGGGGGAGCGTCAAATAAGCAGAGCATTTGTTAGCTCTTCATGGACTGAACATGAGTAATTACTTGAACTTTTTACTAAATTATTCCCCAATTATTTAAATGTTTGTTAGGGGTATCAATTAATGGGTGAATTGAGAAAGTTTACTGACCGAAAGTATTGTTTTGAATCTGTATTTTACATTACTTTTAACTATACAGTATTCAATATTCTTTTCACTGTGTATCACATGCTCAAACATTGATTCTGATACCCAGCAGATCCAAATGTGCCAATCATCATGGCAATGGCAACGTTTAAGATGACGTCATTCTTCCAACAGCTGTTATAATAATTATAATAGGAACAATACTAATATTTAGTTCAGTCATGAAACTTTACATGCAATATGCAAGCCATGTCACCATCACCTTGTGACACGAGCTGATTGGCCTTTGCTGATTCGCCAGCCAATGCGATTGCTTGCTAAACATTGCTTGCTCAACACAGACTATTTAAATAGTCTTGTTAAATAGTCTGTTTGCTGTTGGCTAGTCCTGAGACAGTTCCTCTGTACCCCTCTACCTCCCCCAGCTCCACCTGCTATGGGATTTATGAACGTCTATTCATGCAGAATATATGCAGCAGAGAGCCTGTGTATCTAGTAGCTGGTCCATATTTGCTCTGCAGACCTAATACATTTGCATTGCTATATTCATTAACACACAAAAACTACTTTGAGAGTTGTCATGATTGATTATGCATTTATTCAATCAAAAATACGGTAAATAGTAATATTGTTAAATTTTACCATTTAAAATAAGTCTTTCCTATTTGAACATATTTTAAAATATCATTTATTCCTGTGATTTATTTCTGATATGTTGATTTGGTTCTCAAGAAACATTTTCTTTTGATCAGCGTTGAATACAGTTTAATATTGCTGCTTAATATTTTTGTGGAAACCATGATAAAAAGAAATTCAGGATTCGTTGATGATGAATATGTATTTTAAATAAATCTTCTATTCAACTTTTAACTTTTTAAGTCGCTTTTGACCAATTGAATTAATCCCAGACTGACAGATGCTGCTGCTGCATGAACTAAGCTATGTAAATGCGCCTGTATGCTGTATTGCTGAACAGCCTCCGGGCCTCCTTACGCATGTCTTTCTTTGGTAAAGGCCACCCTTAACCCTCATTAACAGAGCAAGACTTCAACAAATCCCAACACAAAAGCTACTGGCCTGCTGTTTCTTTATTCAAATCCTTCTCTTTGAGGTTTGGGAGGTGTATTCCTCCCCTCTCCATGGATTTCTCCCCCTTCCTTCTGGAGAGCCCCTGATCGAACAAACACAGGAAGTGTGCTGAGAGTGAGCAGCGCTTTGAGGCTGGGCTGTTCTCTGTTGATTGACCCAGTCCTCTTAGAGTATTGACCGCCCTTACTCGCAGACTGCACGCCCGCTTCCGCTCTGCCTCACGCTAATTACTAATATCAGAGTTTGCTAATATTGTTATTATTGCACACTCCATTTTATAGTGCTTTGGAACAAATTGGATTTGTAGAAATTGTTGGCACGGTATAGCACTGATTACGAGGGGAGTGTGTGTTTTGTTTACCGCATGGATTTGTTGGTCTAACTGGAGCGCGGCCTGATAGTTTGAGTCTTATCTTATCTGTCCCTTCTTAGAGGCCACGGCTAAAGAGTCAAAGGCTTAGTGCAACATCAAAGCTGTCTACTTTCTGCATGTACACTGCTGATGGAGAGGAAGACAAGGAAGGGGTTTGACACGAAATAACTGATGAGGGACAATGACATTGTTACTGTGAGAGAAAGTGCTATGTAATGTGACTGGTTCATACAGTAGTGGGCTACATTGTTGTCATGACGTCATTATGTTGAGTCGTTATGCGCCAAAGCCACACCTCCTCCAAAACACCTCATGTCTCGAAGCACATAACATTACAATAATAATGAATGTAAACAACTTAGAGCTCCGACTTGTACCACCCGATTTCTGCAGATTCATTTCGGTGTTATATTTATGAATTAGGTTAACATTAAAGGTGAACTATGCAGGTTTTTTACCTCAACCGATCAGCTTCGGAGTCATTGGAATGGTTATATTACTCTTTTCGGGTTGAATGGTGGTCGTTTCGCACCCCCCTATCGCATGTGAGCGGAAAAACCACACTTGCAACTTTGAGCTGGCGGCACGCCGGCCGCAGCATCAGGAAGTGTCGCGTGATATCAGGTCTCGCGATGTAACGAATTGCTTTACGGCAAAAAACAGATCTGATAAAATTCTGATTAAAAATGAGCATCAAACAGAAATAACCCGGCGCCGTATACATGTGGTGTTCGAGGCGCACATACAATACAGACTGCCGACAGTTAAACAGGGCGCGCGCAGCTCTTAAAGGGGCCATACCTTATTTCCACTCGTTACAGCGTCCACTCGTTACAGCGTCCATCCTACTGAACAGGTACCGGTGTACAGGGGGAGGGGATCCGGCCGTGAGTGCGAGCCATCTCTGCGTGAGGGCTATTCACGACAGTACAAGTACCCCACAGCGAATCTAGGGGTCGCTGTTTGACAAAAACGGAATTCCTACTTAGTGCTGCTCTAACACTCACATCTATTCAAGGTATGAGGGAAATATGTTTTACTTGATGGTTACACCACAGGACATTTTTAGAGTCATTATATGTACCATTTTCAAAACCATATGAAACCAACATAAATACAACAATTCCAAAAGATTTTTTAGAAATTGGCACATGCATTTTAAGATTTTTAAAAGATCTCGGACACTATTATTGAGATCCAATTGCATCTTGGGGGTATTGCCATCACTCCAAACTTGAGTAAATTAACTTATCTGGGTATTCCATGCACAAAGAAAATTAAGATATTGTGTTCAATATACTTCATACTGCAAAAATAGCTCAAGCAGTGTGGTAGTATGGTATTCTGAATGCACCATTTGTGTTCTACCGTTCTGCATTACCAGTCTAAGAGTGTGTAACAAAAAGCTCTCAGACTGAACTGCAGCCGTTTTATTCTGCGTCCTTTTACTGATTGTATGTTTTTAAATAATATGTGTATAGTGAAATATTAATGAGACTCTACATTAAACTTTAACCAGATTCTGAGGCAGATTAAACTAGACTATTAAATTTCTCTGACTGTGAAATAAAAGGGAATCCAATTGCAGTTGTACGCCCTTTTCCCTTGCGTAGCGCTGTCTGTCAATATCAATGAAGCCCGTGTGAGTCATTTGAGTAGCTCGGAAAAATAAAGCAGGTGAAATTATTGCTGAATATCAACTGTACGTTCCCAGAGCAAAACCAGACGAATGTTTTTTGTACATTTCAAATATGAATCATTAAAATAGAGTGGCACTCTGATTGAATAAACCAGATTTTGTTTCCTGGACAGTGAATGTATTTGGTTTTTCCTTTTATTTTGCTCTAATTTGTGCTCTTTCATATCTAATTGACTCTGCTTTTCCATGCTGCGGTAGATGGAATAGACAGAGTCGCTGTAATGAGACGTGCCCACTCAAGGCCCTGAGAGACCAACCCAGTTACTGGGGTACAGCTGCTTTACTTGCCTCATTTGTGTATATCTGAAGAGGATAGCAAAGTAAAGTCACAACTGACAGATGCCTCCCCAGCATCCACAATTTCCCTGCCTCGATGTGAGTCAGACAAAACAAGCATCATATTAAAATAATAACCTGCTGTTTTGCATGCAATTGATGTAGTGTTTTCCCCCCTCTTCAAGTAGCCCTCCTACCAGAGCTGTTAGCTTTCATCTCAAAACATTTCAATTCCGACGTCTGGACACCAGAAGCATTACCGTCAGCGTTGAAACCAATCACAATTCCCCGTAGTCCAATTTACTGTTGTTCTATGAAGGTATTTGAAGTTCGTATGGAGTAGCCAACTTAGTTTGGCCGAAGAAACGTTTTCATTTGAACTTGATGACTGTTGAAGGGGTACGATGGGAATTTCGAAAACTCACTCAGTATGGCCTTTTAACTGTCATTGTATATAAACTCCAAATCGTTCCCTTGTGTGCTCTTTTCAGAGTTTCCCTTCAGACGAAGGCTGGCCATTTGCGAAGTACCTGGGTGCTTGTGGGCGGATGGTGGCAGTGAACTACGTGGGTGAGGAGCTGTGGAGTTTCTTCAATGCTCCCTGGGAAAAGAGGGTAGACCTGGCCAAGCAACTGATGGACATTGCTGAGCAGCTTACCAACAACGACTTCGATTTTGCTCTCTACCTGCTGGACGTCAGCTTCGATAACTTCGCTGTGGGCCCGCGGGACGGGAAGGTCATTGTTGTGGATGCGGAGAATGTTGTGGTGGCCGACAAGAGGTTGATAAAACAAAGTAAGTAAAAGGATTGCCCCTCCAAGTAAATCTCATTCTCTTCACACAGAGTTTGTTTTAGTGCAGTTACAACTGCATCCTACACTCTAATTTGCTCCCCCAAAAATGTATTCAGTACACATAAAATGAAACTTCTCTTATCATTTGCACACCCTCATGTTGTTCCATACCCTAATTACTTTTTCTTTCACAAAAGGAGACATTTTAAGGAAAACCACTGATCATTTTTTCCCGTGCAATTACAATTAATGAGGACTGGAGCTTTCTAGATTTAAAAAAAGCACCCAAAAGCACCATAGATACACCATAAAAGTAGTCTGTATGGTTAGTGTGCTAAATTCCAAGTCTTCTGAAGTCATACGATTGCAGAACAAACCAACATTTTAAAGGGATAGTTCACCACAAATTGAAAATTCTGTCAGTAATTACTCACCGTCATGTTATTCCAACCCTGTAAGACTTTCGTTCATCTTCGGAACACAAATTAAGATATTTTTGATTAAATTTGAGAGCTGGATCACTCCTCCATAGGCTTCTAAGGGATTGAAACTTCCCGGCCCAGAAAAGTTAAAGACATCGTTAAAATAGTCCAAGTGACTACCATGGCTCAACCTTAAGTTTATCAAGCGACGAGAATACTTTGTGTGCGCAAAAAAACCAAACAAAAATAACGACTTTATTCAACTATTCATTTCCTTCCCTGCCTGCCTCGAGATAGTTCACGTAGTGTAACTGTGCAGTGCTGCTGTGTTGTACGTTGACGTACAACACAGAAGCGCTGCGCTGTTACACTACGTGAACTATCTCGAGGCCAACAGAGAAGGAAATGAATAGTTGAATAAAGTCGTTATTTTTGTTTGGTTTTTTTGCGCACACAAAGTATTCTCGTCGCTTGATAAACTTAAGGTTGAGCCACGGTAGTCACTTGGACTATTTTAACAATGTCATTAACTTTTCTGGGCCGGCAAGTTTCAATCCCTTAGAAGCCTATGGAGGAGTAATCCAGCTCTCAGATTTAGGCCATGTTTACACGGAAACGATCTGAAGAGAAAACGCAAAAGTGGCGTTTCGTTTTCACTTTTTATTCTGCGTTTAGACGAGCGTTATGGGGGGGAAATCTGCGTGCATATGGAGACGCAAAAGTGTTAGAAATGCGATGTAGTATGCACTCCAGGCGGCTAGGTGGCAATGTGAAGCACTGCCACACAACAACAACAAGTCCGTGCGCCTGCGTACAACCTTCCTTCTACTTCTCTCCCTAGTAGCGCGAAATTGAAAAGACTCTTGGACGTTTATCAGAGCTGCTAGGGCAACTTGAAGGTCCGACGTATGGAAATAATCCGACATGTTGGTTGTTATTTTCCTTTACTGGCGCATGCCTGTGACGTAAATGCGTACGCGACGAGAGCCGCCATGAGCAGATTTGCGTTTTTACCCGTTTAGACGGAAACGCGACGGTGGAGCGTTTTTAAGATTTCCACTTTGGAGGGTGGTTTCACTTTTTTGCGTTTTTAAGCCCCAAAAACGCCGTCGCCGTGTAAACGAAAGGCACATCCGATAAAATATTATTACGTTTTCACCCGGAATCGTTTTCGTGTAAACAGGGCCTTAATAAAAAATATCTTAAAGGTATGGTTCACTTTGAAATGAATTTTTGGTATGTTTTAGCTTACCTCAAGAGCATCCAAGATGTAGGTGTCTTTGTTTCCGCAGTAGTTTCAATTTTGATATTTTTAGGTCAAACCGTTCTTGTCTGTCAGTCATATTATGCAGGTCTATGGTCACTTCCTCAAAGAGCATGCACAGAGAAGTCCAAATTAAACATGATTTAATGACTCGTAAATGTAAGTACACATTGATGGCCTAAGACACGAAACGAACGCTTTGTGTGAGAAAACGAACCGTTTTTTTATCGTTTTTACCTCTTGTAACCACAGCCACGTCCAATTGATCTGAGGGCGCGGGCGCTTCGGTCTGCGCAAGCGCCGGAAAGCGCCGGAAGTGATCTCTTGCGCGTTTACGTCACTCACTGTTTACACAGAGATTTCGGAAGTGTTACCTTTCACTGTGAATTGTTTTCTTTTACGACGGGTTAAACATTCCGGATAAGCGCAAATTAGTACCATTTTTATTAGCCGTATTACCTACAATCTCTGTTCTGTGTAAACAATGAGTGACGTACACGCGCTAGAGATCACTTCCGGCGCTTACGCAGACCGAAGCGCCCGCGCCCTCAGATCACTTGTACGTGTGATCCTAGAAGTGATTCTGTCCATTGAGCTGTTAACTGCTGCCACTAGAACACTAAGTTGATTTTGCGATGAAACAGTCAGTGATTCTGTGCAATTGATCAAATTGTTAGTTGAAAACATGAGGCTCAAAAGAACCTTTTTTTTCTTCTTTTTTTTTTTTTTTTGAACCAGGCATCAGTATTTTGGTTTGTTCTACTCTCAAAGCTGTACTACTTCACAAGACTTGAAATATAATGCACAGACTATTTCAATGCATACAGACTACTGCTATGATCATTTTGTGGTGTTCTGTATCCTTGTGAATAATTGTACACATGGAATGATACCTATAAAACGACAAAATAATAATAAAAAAAACATTGGCAGACATTTATCAAAATATCATCTTGTTCATAAAAAAAATGCATACATACAAGTTTGGAACAGTGTTTCTATTAACTAAAACGTAAACTACTAAAAATTATTTTATTTTAATTGAAATTAGTGCTGCACGATTAATCGAATCGCAATCGTAATCGCGATGTCAAACCTATGCGATTATATAGCGCAAAATGCCGCGATTTTATATGAACACAGCATCTCTTCTTTTTTGTCATCCTTTGACTAGTGTTACATGATCCCGCTCTTATTCGTGCAAATGCCTTAAAACCATTTTGCACGACAAGAAGTCAAAAGAGAGCGCGCTGCCTGAGAATGTCCTGAATGTGACTCACAGAAAGACGCGCGCAAGATTCATGCGCATGCACAGACCGGGTGCCAGAATACAGTTCTCTTTCGAGCTTGAACGAACAATAACACACACAATTATGCCAAAATGTCGTTTTGTCGATTATCTTCATAACATAAGAGCAGTCTTATGATGGCCGTGAAGAGTTGTGCTTGTGAGAGAATGAGGCGCGTGTGAGATCCGCGTCTCGGCAACGGCTGCTCTTAAAGGGCCGGCAGCGAATAAAGCGTTCCGTCAGTAAAGTTAATCAAAGAACAAAGGGAACAGAAAATTACTCACTGCTCTTGACTAAAGAAGTTTTGTAGGTTTAATAAGGATTAGTCTATATATATATATAATTTATAATTCATGCAGCGCAGACTGTTCGATAACTTTATTCAATTTCTGTATATAAATCTGTATATAAATCCTCAATCCTACCTGTTAAGACAGGAAGGGCACAGGTAAATATGGCATTTATTATGGATTTATGTGAGGATTGTTTGAAGTTCACTTAATTTAAAAGCTGTTATTATTTTTTTTAAGCCTAATAAATATTTTAAAAGTTGATAGCTTTCAATTGTATTGATGGAATCACTGTAATGTTGGATGGCTATAATTAACGTTTAAAATGTGGGGGGTGTCGTAATTTTTATCCAGACATCAATGGTTTATTGATCATTATAGGTGTTATCAATCATTTAGTTGTTGTTGCTAGTTTGAGTTGAGAAATACACATTAATACACAGAATGATCACTAATCTGTGTGTGCATTTTACTTTAGAACCAAGCAAGTTGACTCATGAAACCATTTGTTTATTATATCGCAATCGCATATCGCAATCGCAATATTGACCTCATTAATCGCAATATGACATTTTCCCCAAATCGTGCAGCCCTAATTGAAATAGAGTGGAAATAAAATAAAATGATGGAAAAACAATTTTTTTTTTTTTTTTTGCATTTAATGATGATCGGGCAGTAACCAGTTGTGCCAAAGCTCTACATACAATCATTTACTCAAGGTACATTATAAACCCTGCTAAACACCTGTAGAACTCAGAATGACGCAGAAGTGCTGTTATATCAAGTACGTCACCAGCACACAGAGACATGTGCCTTTAGACCAGAATCTCAGGGGAGATACCCAACATCGGATAGAACACTATTCAGAGAACAAGGTTTGTTCCTGAAAGCCTCAGATAGAATACGTGTCTATGTGCGGGTGTGTGTGTGCGAGAGACTCACACGTGAGGACAGAGTGACGCCAGTTGGTTCTCTCTTAAATGGCGACTTGTCACGGTGCCAGAAGCCTCACAGAAGAAGCTCTGTCATTGAAGTGGGAGCGAGCCCTCGAGGGGAGGGTGTCCCCTTTTACCAGTCAAACAGCTCAGCTAGGATGAATTTAAATTGTTTTACCTCCGCTTTGAAGAAGTATTAAAGCACTGTGTTTACAAGCTAGCTTAAGGACATTGGGTTTCATTCACAATTAATTACCTTTAAGTTGCGTAATAACACGAGTAGAAAACATTATCATGCTAAAGTTTCACTGAATTCACAACAGGTGCGATATTGGAAAAACTGACATTGTTTATAGTAAGTTTTCCTGCTTTTTATATATATATATATATATATATATATATATATATATATATATATATATATATATATATATATATATATATGAAAACTGTTTCTCCAGATGACTTGAATAGCTCTATTTGGAAAGAGTTAATCATTCTAGAAAGATCATGGTGATTTTGTAGGGGAGTGAATCTGCATAGAAAATAATGAACACATTTTTACAAATTACAAGCATTACATAAATACAATAGAACCAAGATACAACCGAATTAACCAGTGCTTTGTTTTTCAGGCCAGTCTAACAGTATTCAGGTACAGAAATTGAATGATCAAATGTAAAATAACTGCATAGCCTTCACTGTGTAAATTAAAAATAATTAATCTTTGTTAAAGCTACAAAAGTGATTTTCACTTTGTATTTTGTTGTTTGAACAACATTTGGCTGCTGTCACTTTAAG